TGGCGAATTCCTAACTCCTCAGTCAGAACAAATTCCTCAGAGACCAGAAGATCTTCTTCTCTGTCATTGAAGAAATTGACTGAACTGATATGAGATTTCCAATGACTTCACTCGAAAGGATTGGGTAGTTGTAGGATATTGAGATGAGCATCACTTGGAAATCACTTTCCTTAGTATTACCTCGACCCCTTTAACAGTACGGTGTTTCCTATGACTCAAGAAAGAGAAAGTGAAACTACGAAAACAAAAGTCTTCACGCTTCATAATCCTCGCATGAATATCCAAGTCTTCAAGGTCACACTAATTTCTTCACTTTCAAAATCTTCAGGAGAACGAAAGTCTTCAGCTGAAGACATACATTTTTAGGGGTCGACTTTCATCGTAAATATCAAACTCCTCATCGACTTATAGAGCCTATGTACACTCACAAACACATTAGTCCCTTAACCTATAAGTCTTCAATACACCAAAATCACTAAGGGGCACTAGATGCACTTACAGAAAGCCGAGCATAAAATTTTTGAATAATAATTTCTCTTAAGAGCTCATGATTGGGGCATGAATATAACATTGACTTAAGCCTCCCCCAAGCTATAGCGATACTTTCTCCTTCACGCGGCCAAAAATTATATATGCAATTACGATCACGATGAACCAGATGCATAGGATAAAACTTCTGATGAAATTCCAATTTCAATCGGTTGTAGTTCCATGATCCAATATCATCACATAGACTATACCATGTCAATGCCTTTCCCTTCAAATATAAAGGTAAGACCTTCTTCTTGACAACATCCTCGGGCATACCTGCAAGCTTAAATAATCCACAAACTTCATCCACATAGATTAGGGGCATATCGGGATGTAATGTTCCATCTCCTGTATAGGGATTAGCTAGCAGTTTCTCTATCATACCCGAAGGAATTTCAAAGTAAATATTTTCAGTAGGTTCAGTAGGTTGAGGAGCAAATCTTTGCACTTCTGTCGGGGTGAAGATACCCGAACAAAGCCCCTCAGAGGATTATTTTCCATAGTAACAAGTGACAGTAAATTTCAGCACACTATATAAATGTTTCCTTACCAAATTCCACTTACCAAAGGCGCTTCACTCCCCGGCAACGGCACCAGAAAAGAGTCTTGATGACCCACAAATATAGGGGATCTATCATAGTCCTTTCGATAAGTAAGAGTGTCGAACCCAACGAGGAGCAGAAGGAAATGACAAGCGGTTTTCAGTAAGGTATTCTCTGCAAGCACTGAAATTATCGGTAACGGATAGTTTTGTGATAAGGTAATTCGTAACGGGTAACAAGTAACAAAAGTAACTAAGGTGCAGCAAGGTGGCCCAATCCTTTTTGTAGCAAAGGACAAGCCTGGACAAACAATAACGCAAAGCGCTCCCGAGGACACATGCGAATTATCGTCAAGCTAGTTTTCATCATGCTCATATGATTCGCGTTCGTTACTTTGATAATTTGATATGTGGGTGGACCGGTGCTTGGGTACTGCCTTTCCATAGACAAGCATCCCACTTATGATTAACCCCTCTCGCAAGCATCCGCAACTACAAAAGAAGAATTAAGGTAAACCTGACCATAGTATGAAACATATGGATCCAAATCAGCCCCTTACGAAGCAACGCATAAACTAGGGTTTAAGCTTATGTCACTCTAGCAACCCATCATCTACTTATTACTTCCCAATGCCTTCCCCTAGGCCCAAATCATGGTGTAGTGTCATGTAGTCGACGTTCACATAACACCACTAGAGGAGAAACAACATACATCTCATCAAAATATCGAACGAATACCAAATTCACATGATTACTTATAGCAAGACTTCTCCCATGTCCTCAGGAACAAACGTAACTACTCACAAATCATATTCATGTTCATAATCAGAGGGGTATTGAATAGCATTAAGGATCTGAACATATGATATTCCACCGAATAAACCAACTAGCATCAACTACAAGGAGTAATCAACACTACTAGCAACCCACAGGTACCAATCTGAGGTTTTGAGACAAAGATTGGATACAAGAGATGAACTAGGGTTTGAGAGGAGATGGTGCTGGTGAAGATGTTGATGGAGATTGACCCCCTCTCAATGAGAGGATCGATGGTGATGACGATGGCGGTGATTTCCCCCTCCCGGAGGGATGTTTCCCTGACAGAACAGCTCCGCTGGAGCCCTAGATTGGTCCTGCCCAGGTTCCGCCTCGAGATGGCGGTGCTTCGTCCCGAAAGCTTCCTTTTGATTTTTTCCAGGGCAAAAGACACCATATAGCAAAAGATGGACGTCAGGGGCCTGCCAGGTGGCCCACGAGGCAGGGGGCGCGCCCTGGGGGGTAGGGTGCGCCCTCCACCCTCATGGCTGGTGGGTGCCCCCCCTATGGTGCTTTCTTCGCCCAATATTTTTAATATATTTCAAAACTGACTTTCGTGGAGTTTCAGGACTTTTAGAGTTGTGCAGAGTAAGTCTCTAATATTTGCTCCTTTTCTAGCCCAGAATTCCAGCTGACGACATTCTCCCTCTTCGTGCAAACCTTATAAAATAACAGAGAAAAGGCGTAAGTATTGTGATATAATGTGTAGTAACAACTCATAATGCAATAAATATCTATATAAAAGCATGATGCAAAATGGACGTATCACGGGGCGGCAAGGTATGTCAACGGCGGGTCGTTGCCACCCTCGAGGTGCTGGAGGACGGCGTGGAGAGTGCGGCCGGGGGTGCCCCACCACAGGCGGCGGCCCTCACTGTTCTTGGTCCCCCGCACCACTGGTGCCCCATTGGTGGAGGCCAGCCGTTGCGCCCGCCGGCGCTGGAAGTACGCCGCCCATGCCTCGTGGTTGCCGGCGGCGTACTGCGGGAGGGCCCGTTGCTCCTCCGTCAGCGACGCCCGCACGCGGTCGACCTCGTCGGCGAAGTAGTCGGCGCGCATGATGACGTCTGGCAGCGGGGGAATGGGGACGCCACCGGCTGAGCTTCCATTGCCCCGGCGTGCACATGTCGGGAGGCGCCGGGGCGTTGGCCTTGAATAGTAGGTAGGCTTCCCACTCGTGCAACGAGCGGCGGCCGAAGCCATTGGCCGCCGCCCCATCGCTGGGGAACCTCTCGGCCATCGTCGAGGCTGGGCATGGGGAGAGAGAGGAGGAATGTTGGCAACGTCGGCGCACGGGGAGAGAGCTCGGCAGCTGTAGGCGAGGTGCGGCCACAGGCAAGGGAGAGGCGCTGCTTATATAGCGGTCGGGGGTGGGCGCCATGTGTACACGTGGCGGGAGGTGGTGCGTCGCCGCGCCCGCGCCGCCCGTGAGGAATCAATGGAAGGCTGACTAGCAGCAGCCTTGACATTGATTCCAGGTGGGAAACCGAGGCGATGAGAACGACGAGGCGCGTGGGTCGCTGACTCGGCAGGCCCGCCATTCTTTCGCGCCAAAATCGATTGCCCCGGCGCCCTCGGGCGCCACCCAGTGCGTCGGGTTCGGCCTGGGTCCGCCGGCGCCAGTTTCGGCACAAACCAGCGAAAAACAGGCTCCCGGGGACGCGACTGGGCCGATTTTTGTGCGCCGGCGCCAGTTTCGGCACAAATCAACGAAAAACGGGTTTCTGGGGACGCGACTGGGCCGATTTTTGTGCGCCGGCGCTAAAAATACGGCTCGAGGGCCCTGTTGGGGGCGCGGCTGGAGATGCTCTTAGTCTCATGTTTGTCGATATGGCATCCCAATTTTCTAAATACTGCCACGATCAAACACTAACAATCACAAACATTAATTGATGATCAACAATGTGAACAAAGAAAACAAATGTTATTGTGCATGGACCATTGACCTGCCAAGTTTCTTATCATTCTCAAAGAAAACTTAACGCTTGGGCGGTAACCCAAAAATCCAAGTTCACACCAAAAATGCATATCCACTCCATGTCGACTACATTTGTTTTAGGATATGTGCCCCATTTCACAAAACAGACCTATGACTGTGTGCAATTCTCATCTACCATCTAGTTGTGATATTCAGATACTATTGCGTATTAAACAATATTGTCATATTTTACCATCTAGTTAGGACCTTGTGATATGGTGTATCCTACTTTAATATTCCCCCGAGTTGATTAGCTAGGCCTACTCGTTAAGACAGTCTTATGGCTAATTGGTCAGACAACTTGGATGTATATTCAGTAGAATGTATCAAATTATGAAAAGTACCCTCACACTCATCAGAAATTGTCAAATTTCTATAAATTTATGACACCTCGAAGGACGATGAGGCCCTTCATCCGCCAGACGGCCCGTCCTGCTGCCATTTTAGCTTGCCAAACCGAGCCGCCTCCACCACCTCGCGCCCCGACTGCTTAATGGCAAGCCGGGGCGCCTTTGCGTTCTTCTTCCGTAGACGACGAGCATTAGTCTTCGCTCGTCGTGAGCAATTGGCGGTGGACCCAAGCGAGGGGCCACTTGTCCTTGTCGAGCTCCACCGGCATCCTGCGGCGGCGGCACACGGACTGCTCCGCTGTGTCTCTCTTCCTTGCCCGCTGCCCCTCGTGGCGGGCGGCGCGGGCACTAGCACCCATCGCAGCCCCGCGCAGAGCACCTGCCGACGTGGAAGGGGTGGAGCGGACTGCGCTGCCCTGGTGGAAATATGCTAATTTCTAGAAATCGAATTTTTGGCATAGCCGGCTCTTGACGCGTCACAAAAAACCCACGCCCTAGTTTCTTGACCACAAATCGCTCGAGACAGGACCGAACCTTCTGGAACGGCCGCTGTCTCTGACACGACCCCGCATCGGCTGGCGGCCCAAACACAGCAACAAAACCGCCGCCGCCTCCCTCTTCCCCACCTCCCCATCCCGTCCTCCCCCCGGCACAGAACCCCAGAACCCCAGCCGACCTCACGCCACACGCGTCGGACGGAAAAGAGGAGAATTTCGCTACCCCCTCCCCGTCCCCTCCGCCGCCGGCGATCGCCGTCCCCCTCCTCCCCGTACCCTCGCCCGCCATGGCCGCCTACTGCCCGCTGCCGGCGATGGCGCCGGACCTGCCGGTCTGGACCCACGCCGCGCCGGCGACCCCCGAGCCCCAAACCCTACCCATCTTCATGTACCCGCCCCCGCCGCCCCCGCTCCCCGCGGGCCGCCGCCTCCTCCCCTGGCCGGTCGCGCACCGGCCGCCTCCCGACTTCTTCTTCGAGATGGACTACCGCCGGACCCACTCCCTCGTCCAGGTGAGCCCCCCGCCGGCCGCCGATTCCTCTGGTTTCTCTGCCGTCCCCGACCGCCACTGAGTAACCTCGTGCTTCCTTTTCTTGGGGACGATGCAGTTCTTGACGGACGAGGGGGCCATCCCGACGCCCGAGGAGGAGGAGACGAGGGAGCAGGTCATCCGCGAGCTCAAGAAGGTACTGGGGCATGGGGATTCTCGCTTGAAAAAATTGGGTACTGCGGGCATGTGCGTCGGGGTGGAGTTCCTGAATTCTTGTGTTTTCTCTGCTTGCTCTCGCAGATTGTGACGGATTGGGCCAAGACGGTTGCCTGTGAGGAGAGGGTTCCCCCAAGGCGGGTGACGGCTACGGTCCTCACCTATGGTTCTTACACGTTAGGGGTAAGCAAGAACGCAAGATATTTACCAAAATGATGTGGTCATGGTTTCTCTGAATGCTTGCGGGGTTGACCATATTGGTTGGATTATCCCCAATTTCAAGATTCTATAGAATTTCATGTTTGTCGTAGTAAATTGGTTGGATTATGCCCAATTTCAACGTTCTATAGAATTCCATGTATGTAGTAGTAAATTGGTTGGATTATCCCCAATTCACGCTTTGAGATTCTATGGAATTTCATGTTTGTAGTAATGCCTAAATTTAGTGCTTCACACCTCTTGGCAATTAAGCCGGCCTATATTGCAAGGAAGGTAGATTACAAGCCTATTATTAGAGACAATACAGGAGCAGAAAATGGTCTGCTATTTATAATGCCCGCCCTTATGCCCAGATAATTCTCTGAGCGTTAATTGTATGTGCCATTATAAGTTATATGCCTTGTCACATATTTGTGCACCTTCTGTTTGTTCTAGTTGTCGCTTATGATGCAACAAATCAAGTGCCTTGGCTGATCAAGTATTTTTGTTTGTTCAAGGCTCACGGACCTGAATCTGACATCGATGCGCTATGTGTTGGTCCCTGTATCGCAAACTTGCCGGTAACTATTGTGGTTTGTGTTCCATCTTTCTCCACCTTTAATAAGAGGATACTAACGCATGTCATGTGAATCTTGCAGCAGCACTTTTTTGTTGTTCTGCGACAAATTCTCAAGTGCAGGCCGGAAGTATCAGGACTGCAGACTGTGGAAAATGCCAAGGTTCCATTGATGCGATTTAGATTCAGCGGGATTTCTGTTGATCTGACATACGCCCAGCTCCCAGTCCTTGATGCAGTTCAGGCAAGTTTGTTGCACTGACACCCCTTCTAGAAAACTATACCTGTATTTACGAATCCTGTCTGTGCAATTACCTTAACTCATGGAGTGAACCTGTTAGTGAGCATTAGGCTGATATTGTTCTAGATAGTTTAAGTGCCTCTGATCTGAGGAGCTAAGGGTATAACTCTGTAGTATATAATCTCTTTAAATCTGGCACCTCAAAATCATCAAACATGGCCCTGAACCTTGGATACCTTTTTCCAGTGTCAAACCTGACTGATTCATAACCGAATGAGGTTCTAGAAGTGCACAACTACGATCCTGACTTTCCTTGCACTCTCCATCCTCAGGACACATGATAGAACATTCTCTTTGATGGCCTTTGCCGCACTGTGGAAAAAGACTCCGTTAGTGACTTGGGGTTACCAGCTAACAACTATTGTGCACCCCTCTACCTCTCTTTAGATGTTCAAAATAATCATACCAGATATCTGACACCACATCCAGAAGATTATTGGATAACCCATGTTGCTCATTCTGAGCATCAAACTTTTTGATCTGTGTGACAAGATCTCACTACTTTTCCTTGACATCACCCCCACAATTTAACCCCAGCCTTGCAAAAAAAACTATGGGACGTCTAATGTCATTTGACCATTAGTCAGGAGAAGTCCACTGTACGTCATCGCCTCACCCATTTCGTACCAGCTGTTTCTCGAAACTAGCCTGAAAAACATTGATGCTCGAAAAAGAAATGCCCTGTACTTGGTTCTTTTGCTCACAACAATATGTGCATGATGAAGCCAATTCTTGTCAGGCTTATCACAGCAAAAGGTGTGAAATCTGGCTTCAAGCCATGCTAACTAGCACCCTGTCAAAATTAACTATGGCTGGTGAATTTGCTTGTTGGTCCACGTGTAACAAGCCCTTCCCCTTTGAATCTTATGGATTTATTGGAGAGTTGGATCAGATAGTGACCAATATTATTGTTATGTTCTACTATCACACGCCTACCGAATGAGGTCTGCTAATCCCTAGGAATAGGGGCACAATATATAATTCTATTTTTCTGCTTGCCAAGCAGTCAGTCAAGGAGTTGGGCTGAGCAGGCCTAAAAGCCACCACATATTCCCATGTACGCACTGACTTTTTGTTTGGTCAACACATTTGCAAAGAACTTACCTTGATCAAAAGAACTCACATCTAAAACATCTAATTTTGCTTGTAGTAATATTCTGCAGTTTTTCTGAGTTCACCACCCTAAATGATTTTTACAAGATAAATCCATATATGTGGAGTATGATCCCTCCAAATTATCTTTATCATGGCTGTCCCACAGACGTTGTACTTATGTAAAAATGGAAGGTCTATATTCTGACGGGTTTACTTGCTCATGCAGGCTATAAATACATCTAGTCCTCAGTATCTTCGGAGACTTGATTCACGGAGTTGGAAGAGTTTGTCTGGAGTTCGTGTTAATGAGCAGATTGTGCAGCTAGTGCCGAATCAAGAGGTTACAGACTATTCTAATTTAATTCACCAGCACTCAGTCACATTTTTGTCCCCTACATAATTGTACATGAGAACCAAAGTAGTCATGTTTGAATCTACGCTTCTCTTCAATTCATTTACTTACTCTTGTATTCATCTATTTCTGCACTTCCTGCTTAACATGCTCTTGTTTCCTTTGATTTATTTATTACTTACTCTTATCAGTGCTCTTGTTTCCATTGATTTACTGTGACTATGGTATTGCTCATTATTATTTTTACACAAGAGTACTTCAAATTATTGTTATTTTTTCACTTTAAATTCTGTTTGTTAACAATTTATGCAGAAATTCCAAGTTCTGTTGCGATGCATAAAACTATGGGCTAGGAGGCGTGGACTTCATTGCCATGTATGTTGTTTAATATGTGCTGCTGATTGCTGTTCAGCTATATTCTGGTCTGACTGTGTCATGTTGACATGTCCTATGCCATTTTGCAGTTGCTTGGTTTCTTTGCTGGGATTCATTTGGCGATTCTTGCAGCATATGTTTGTCAGAAATTTCCAAATGCCACTGCCAATGGTCTGTTCACCATGTTCTTTGAGATATTTGCTCACTGGCCTTGGCATATTCCAGTAGATCTGCATGGTCAGCAAACTAACTGCACGCGTTCAGATGGGTGTTTAATGCCCATAGTGATGCCTTGTTCTCCACCGGAGCTCTGTGCGTCTAATATGACAGAAGGTACCTTCAGGAAGATCAGAGAGGAGCTTATGCGTGGTTATGTTTTGACCAAGGTCAGTAAGTTAGGTAGTTTCACTTCCAGTTGTGTTCATCCTGCTTTTCGAAGTCCAGTGGAGTTTGTGAAATGCACAGATTTTGTTATTTAGTATAATGATGGTGGATTGGTGATATGTAGCTGAGATTGGTCAACTTGCTTATGCCTACATAAACCAACACTTTCTGACATTCCTAGGCCACTTCAGATCTTCCATGCATGCATGTGTTCGGCACTCTTTCCTGTTCTAAATTTCTTTCCCAGGGACAACTAATCCATTCAAAATGATCTAGCTTGACACATAGATACATATCTTGTGTTCCTTGTTCACTTCAAGTACTTGACTATATTTACTTTTTGCATTTTGCTATACGCCTAGTTCATTGATACTCATCTGAAGTTTTAGTTCATAATATCATTTCAGTGAGTATACATTTTCCCCTTGTCTGCCCTCTTAACAGAACTGTACATGATTCAGCTTATCTTGGAATATTTTTGCCGTTCAGTTTTCTCTAGTACTAGACCAGTGCGCATATGTTTGCTTGAACACTTTGAGTTTATTTTTGCATCAACTCTTAACAGTTCTTTATTGTTTGGCACAGGACCTAGGGAGCCATGATTTTGAGTGGGCATGGATTTTTGAACCCTTCCCATATTCGACAACATATGAACAATTTCTTTGCATTGCTCTATGTGCTCCAACTTCTGAAGAACTGCATGATTGGGCTGGATGGGTTAAATCCCGCTTCCCTTACCTTATTCTCAAGGTTTGTTTGCTGCAGTGCAGTCGTCTTGTTTTTCCTTCATACTCACGCAGCTCAACTAATCATTTAGTGCAAGGATGTGAAACTGTAAATCTAAATGGTTTTAACTTGTGCTCTGCAGCTGGAAGATAACGGCATTGAGTGTGACCCCAATTCATCACAGGAAGTTGATCATACAGTGATCAAACCCAACATTGTATATCACTGGGGCCTCATCCCTCAATCAGATACTCTTCTTGATCCTATCTCTCTGAAGGAAGATTTCATGAAATATGTCATCAATGATGTCTATGGAAAGGTGAAATGTACAGACTCGGAGCTGACGTTGTCCCTCGTTGGCGCATCAGAGCTGCCAAAAAGCATGTACAATGACTCATTTTACTCTCGGCACCTGCACCAGTATGGGGTGGCCTACCAGGCAGCAGCTGACTGTTGGAGTACAATTGGCTAGGATATTGGTGGATCATCTGGCACTTACTCTTTTGCAAGCATCTTATATGATGATCATCGGGCCGATACTCAATCATGTCTGTGGGTTTCTTGTCATCTCCTTATTGCCCCTAGCAAAGGGAACCTGAAGACCAGGGTATTCTTTTATTAGCTCCCAGGTGCACTAAGATCATGAAACTGACCTGGTTCTGCTCTGATGGTTATTCAAGCGCATGTGTAGTACTGGTCAGTATATCGGCATAGCCTCTGACAAAAAAAGAAAAAAAATTGGTATTGTCGGCATAGTGGCTTATAGCAGTAGAATGTAAAATGTAGGTTATTGTTTCAAAAAAAAATTTGTAGGTTAGGTTTACATGGCTCACAGCTGCCAAACGGAAGCCGGTGGAAGGGGTTACTGTGAACCCATTGAAGATGGGGAGGCAAACAAAAAAGAAGAAGGTGAAATGTCTCTGCATCAACGGTGTCCAAGTGCTGGTTTCTGCTGTGAATTCTGATGCCTGCTGGGCGCAAAACCACCCAAGGTGCCTGCAATGTATAGTTGATCTTCTCAGTAGTATGTGCTGTTACATTTTGCAAGCAGGACAGCCCTTGCCACTGAACCATTCTTTTGTGTAACTGATAACTACCCTACTCTGAAGTGCCTGATCTGATGTGGTGGTACTGAATAATAAACTGTAAAGTGAAAAACACCAGTTGAAACTGTATGTGGTCTTGTGTTCCGGTGCAGAGGTGGATGATGTTTGCTAGTAATGTTTTGTACTGTACGTATTTGGTATTGATGATGATGGTGATGGTGCATACTGTTTAGCATGATGGTATTTTGTTGCTGCGTACATGGTCCAGGGCCGGCGTTCAGGTGAGAGGAGATGCACTTGGTCCTGGCCATCATGGCCTTGGCTCGTAGGTGTATGTGTGCCGTCATAGTATTTGCGTCACGCCTGCTGACCCGGGCTAGCTCTTGGGATCATTCTATTTTTGAGATCCGAAGTTTGCGCATCATAGGCACGAGACCCACCCTACAAGCCACGGCAAATACGGCGGCACGAACAATCATGTACCCTGACTTCACCGAATCAGCTGCCAAGTTTGTACACATGTTTTTAATTTCAGTTACTGCAAGTCTGTAGATATGTTGTTAAATCGGAAAACAAAAGTGCGTAGATATGTTTGCCATGGAAAGGGGAACAGCGAGAGCGATGCGGCGGAGGTGAAAGCGGGAATTCACTCACGTTGTGTGCGTGCATGGTCGTTGTCACATGGTGGTGGTGGCACAGGGCCGGGCACGGCGAGCGGCGTCGCGGTCACCGACAGCGGAACAGAATCATCGGCAGCTTTTGGCGTGGGGAGTAACATGCACGGCCACTAGCTACTCCATCCATCGGTCCCGAAGCCATCTCACTCATCTGCGCACATGCGCTGAGCAGCCCACCACGTCCGGCCGATCCCGACGCGCCCTCGCACCCGCGCCACACGAACTCGCGAACGCAGCTAGCACGGCACATCACTGCACAGGGGATGCCGGTCGACCCGGGGCGCGCACGCTCCCTCGATGAGTCCGCATGCACCCTCGCACCCGCGCCACACGAGCTCCAGAACGTAGCTAGGGCAGCACATCACTGCACAGGGGATGCCGGTCGACGAACCGCTGCGCACGCTGCCTCGATCAGTCTGCAGGCAGGGCGCGGCCGGTTCCACACCGCACGTGCCGGCCAGCGCGCGCCGGGGCCATGCCCACGCGTGCTATGCTCAGGGCGCGTGCGTGGGCGCGTGCATGCAGCCAAAGCATACGTGATGGCAACCCGGCCGAGAGCGCGCACGCGGCCGGTGTGTCTCGCTCGCACGGAGCAACAGGACAGAGCTCGGCGACGACGCGGCCGGGCCGGTGCATATGCGTCCGAGGGAGCATGCACGGAGTGGAGCGGAGAAACCCGGTGCTACTGCACATGCGTCTCTTGCGCGCGCGAGCCGGCAGTGCCCGCCGGTGGCGTGGAGCGGCACTCGCAGAGCGTGCAGCCGAAGCATACGTGATGGCAACCGGCGCGCGAACGCGCACTCTCGCGGCCGGTAGGCCTCTCGCTCGCACGGACAAGCAGGACACGACTCGGCGACGACGACGGCCAGGCGTGCGCGTACGTCCGCCGCCCGGCCGTGCCATGCCATGCCGTACGTGGCGCGGCCGCGGAGCGAGCCCACCCGCTCGACGCGACGGCCCGACAGGCACACGAGCGCGTGCCGCGCCGGCCAACCGCGTAGTACGTGCAGCAGTGTAAATGCACGCCCGTACGTACGTACGTACGTGGGCGAGTTACGTGCGCGCGTACCGATCTCGATCTGGCCGGCCGTCGAAGGCCCCGGTTGGGCGACGGGCGACGGCGCATTAACTGGACGCGCGGTGACAAGTCGACCGTGGATCCATCCGTGATCGATCTGATGCGCGCGTGCGTGCGTGCACGGAGCGTACCGTTGCTGGTACGCTGTCGCACCTGCCTGCACGTACAGATTTATACACCCTAGCTAGCCTAGCTGCGCGCGCGGCATCTGCATGCTCCAGTAGTCAAGTACCGGCCGCTGCATGCACGTGCAGTTTGTCTCGATGCCGATCCACCCGCTCTCGTCCGCTAGCCGCTACTATAGCTAGCTAGCTCGGCTCCATGGACGGCCCCAAACCAGTCAGTGCGGTGCATAACTTAACACACTGCATACATATACATAGATAAAAATGTACACTGAAATCATGTCCTGAACCCGAAAGCATATGTCAACTCTTCTTTCGTTTACATGCTGCGAAATACATGGAGATGGAGCGCGTATAGAACAAGGTTGTGTTCTCCCAGCGCAGACGAAGAGGGCGCGCGGTGCAATGGCAATGCAAGAGGGTCATTGTTCTCGTTCTCGTTAGATTCAGCATCTTGGTTGGGGTTGTGTGGCGGCGGCGATGTACTTTAGTAGGAATAATGTCTCTCATATTCTATCCCCGTCCCGATGATGCGTGTAGCATCGCCGGAGGACGTGTGGAGGTTTGTCTTCGTCGGATATTGCGATACTCGGTCGATGCTGCTCTTCGGTGGATCTGTTTGGATCCGGTCATCGTCCGTCTTTGTTTGGATGTTTACATGTTTGATCCTTCTGATCTATGGCTTTCTTGATCGACGATGTTTGTTACTCTAGTGCGCTGGTCCTATGAGGCTTTATTACAACGACTTTTCGACTGTTTACTAGAATAAGGTTTGCCCGGCTCTGGTAAGCAATGGCGGAGCTATGCTATGACCTGAGGGGGCCGTGGATGTCGGTGTCAAAACCGGCGGATCTCGGGTAGGGGGTCCCGAACTATGCGTCTAAGGCTAATGGTAACAGGAGGCGGAAGACACAATATTTACCCAGGTTCGGGCCCTCTCTATGGAGGTAATACACTACTTCCCGCTTGATTGATCTTGATGAATATGAGTATTACAAGAGTTGATCTACCACGAGATCGTAATGGCTAACCCTAGGAGGTAGCCTATGATTATGATTGTTGTCGTCCTACGGACTAAACCCTCCGGTTTATATAGACATCGGAGGGGGCTAGGGTTACACAAGGTCGGTTACAGAGAAGGGAATCTACATATCCGAATCGCCAAGCTTGCCTTCCATGCAAAGGAGAGTCCCATCCGGACACGGGACGAAGTCTTCTATCTTGTATCTTCATAGCCCAACAGTCCGGCATGTGCATATAGTCCGGCTGTCCGAGGACCCCTTAATCCAGGACTCCCTCAGCAGGCCCGAACTAGGCTTCAATGACGATGAATCCGGCGCGCAGATTGTCTTCGGCATTGCATAGCGGGTTCCTTCCCCGAATACTCCAAAGTACCTGTTGTAAAGAGCAGTGTCCGTCTTCCCATTTAATGTTACACTCATCGGCTTATGTACCTTAATAGTTTCAGCTTCCATGTGTCGAGCGAATGCGAGAAGTCGGGGCATTTTTACACTTGCCACCCTAACCATGTAAGTAAATTGTCTGTTTAAAGAGACGGGGATCTTCAGATCCAATCTACACCATCTTCCCCAAGCGAGGAATCATCGGAGCGTTCCCGCAAAAACCACTCCAATATGGCTGGCACTCGCAGCTCTTCCTCCCGCCCTCACAGCACCAAGCCGGGCGATTGGGAGAAGTGTACCGTATCGCACGGTCAATTGGTGAAGTTGCAGACCCAAGGGTTTCTACCTCCTGCATATCTAGTCCCCGTTCGAGCCGGATTGGCTTCCTTTGACGACGGGGAGCAAGCGGAGAAGTTTCCCAACCCATCCAAGGGGGAGAGAGTATGCCTTGTCCCCTACTTGCTGAGGGGTTCCGGATTTCCAATCCATCCGTTCCTCTAAGGGCTTCTGGAGTACTATGTCCTCCAGTTGCACAACTTCACACCTGCCTCCATCCTGCACATTGTAGGTTATGTCGCTCTTCGCGAGCTATTTCTGGGTTGTGAAGCCCATTTTGAGCTATGGAAGAAGCTATTTTGCCTCGTCCCTCGTAATCAAGAGGGATCAATATTCCAAGTGGGCGAAGCCGAGATATGGCGCATCGTCGGGACCGGATACCTATCCGGCACACCGAAGAAGGCATCCGAAGAATGGCCTTCTGAATGGTTTTATATCAAGGACGTCTCCCTTCCCGACCCAATCCGAATGGGTCTTCCTGAGTTTTCAAGTGCTCCGTTAAAGAAACGCCTCAGCTGGCGTCCCCGGAGCCCCAGGGAGGAGGATAGCACGGAGGTCCATCAATTGATGAGCAAGATAAGGACACTTGCAAAAACCGGATTGTCGATAATCGAAGTTATGGCGATATCGATAATGCAAGGGGTTCAGCCACTCCAATATCGAGGGTGTCCCATGTGGCACTTCAATGGAGAAGACGATGCCACCCGCTGCGGTCAGAAGGTCCAGATACCCCCGCCGCTTTGGCGAAAATACTGTCTGAATTATATGAAGGGGAGAAAGAGGAGTTCATCCGCGTTAAGCCACAAG